CTTTTTGACTGATAAACAACCTATTCACCTTCATTATCATCGTCGATAGTGATTGGGTTAGCAGATGCTTTCTCTTGATGAGGGAGCTCAATAATCTTAGAGTCCAAAAGTTCTTGAATTTTATCTTTAAAACAAAGCACTCTTTTATCAGATGGCTAATCAAATGGTGGTAGGGGCAATACTTTGGATCGTTGGTCTTTCCTACCTCATATGATCTTTTCACCTCAGGAAGAGCAATCAACTTTTGCTCCAACAGATCTTCAAATAGGTCTTCGACCAGATCATCCGTGAAAGAATATTTCTTCTTCAACCTTTCTTTCATAGTCACTTTTTTAAATTCCTTGGGCTTTTTAGCCCTTACTACAATAGGACCCTTCTTTCTAGTTTCAATTATAGCTACAGTCGAGGACTCAACCCTTTCAACAGCCCTAGGCCTCATTCGTTTAGCTAGATGCAGCTCCATATCATGAGCTTTGGTGCATAGATCGTTGAATCCTTCAAAAGTTTGAGCCATAAGAGCCGTAGAGAGCTCATGTCAGAAGTTGTTAAGGCACATCCGAATTAACTCTAATTACGTAAACTTTTGAGGACACGCAAACGTCAAAGCTCGCCATCTTGCAATGAAACCTATAACAGACTCATTGTCATGTTGCTTAGTCGCAATCAGTTCTGGTACTCCAATTCACCTTTGTGTGTTGCAGAATTGTTTAAGGAAATCCTTCACCATGGTATCCCAATTTGGGATTGATCCTTCAGGAAGATTAGCATACCAAGTAAATGTAGAACTTTCAAGTGATTGGACAAATAGTTGCAGGCACAGGGCCACATTCTAGGCTATTGGCCCACATCTTGAAAGAAAATGAGCCACATTTTGTCTTAGATCTCCTGTCCCATCAAACATTTTGAAATCTAGTTGGGAAAAACCAGAAGGGAATGGAACAGCATCTATCCATGCTGGATAAGGTTTTATAATTATTCGAAAGTTCTCATCATCTTTTTCTTTGACTTTCTTTACTTGTCTCCTCACCATATCATCAATCATGGCCATGAGCATTGGATTTATACCACCACTGGTTAGATCAAAGTAACAAGGACCACTGCCTCCTGGGGCTAGTGTGCTTTGTATGCCTACGGATGTCCCCACAACAGGTTGTGTCATTTGTTTGGGTGCACTTCCTAGTCCTGTCATTTAGGCCTGCAACTGTTGCATTTGCTCCAATATAACAGCCATTTCCCGTTCTCTTCTCTCAAGTTGGTCTTGTAGGGCCACCACTTTTTCCTTGAGACCTTGGTCTTGTTGGACCTGCGAATTTTCACCTTCTTTTTCAACCTCAGTCATCATAACTGCAACTTTATTGATATCTCTCAATTCATTGTTTCTAATATTCGTTGAAACAAACAAGATAGAATCATCTTGTTCGTACAAAGGATTATCAACCCCCACAACATTACTCATATTTGAAGCATCTGATTGCGATGCTTTGTTTTGAGCCTCATGGGTTATGGACCTTGTTACAAGCCCTTTTCTTATTCCCTCCACAGATAGTTCAATCAAAGTAAAAATATTTCTCAAGGGTTGCTTACCCTCCTCCACCTTTGACTTTCCAACAAAGACAGGACTTTCAATTTGTTTTTGGCATTCATCTTTCGAAAGAGCCCTTTCAATAGCTCCTATAACATTTGTTGCCACTGTTCTTAGTTCCAGTTTCTTTAAGGCCTTATTTCTTCTTCGCCTTTGTCTTTTCGAAACGGGACCATTTGATGACATATCAAGTCGAGCCCCTAGGGGCATAGAAGGAATCGTTTGCGTTTTTGCAAATTCCTCATGAATTTTCAAAACAGTCCCTACATTTTTAGAGCGGACCAATTGATGTTGATTCAAATCCCGTTGGGCCAACAGGTGTTCCTTATTCGAACCTTGTCAGGCCAACGGGTATTCCTTATTATGTCGGACCAACGGGTGTTCCTTATTCGAACCATGTCGAGCCAACGGGTGTTCCTTTGGCTCCTGAGAGTTGACTGAGATTTGGTTTGACCGATTTTGTGCTCTGAACAGAATTGTCGGTTCGTAGGCCGCAACTGTTTTTTCAACAACAGGGACCTTTTTTCCATCAACAAGAGGTTGGACCATTACCCTCATCCTAATGGCCCTAATGATAGCCATGTTTTCAGCAGAGGCTTTCTTCTGGGCAGACTCCACCATTTTAATGGAGTCTTCTACCTTTTTGAGTAGTTGGGCCACGGTATTTTTTTGTTGCCCCTGTTAAAGTTACAACAAAAGTCGTAGTTACAAACTGATTAGCCTCATTTGCTTGAATTAGAAAGCTCTTCGTTCGGGCTGTGGCCCTTACAGTTGCGTACTGCTTTGACGCTTTCACATAATTTTCAGTAATCTTTCTCAAACTTTCAACTTTCTGGAGAAGTGTGACTTTCTTCGTCACACCAGTTACCTTCGGGACAGCCAAGAGCTTTCGCTACGGCGCCCCTTGGGTGATGAGGGAAAGAAGTGCATCTTTCCAGAATTTCACTAGTTCTACCTTTGGGACAGCCAAGAGCATTCGCTCCGGAGCCCCTTAGGTGATAGGTGCTATCTCTACCCTTGGTGATTTCAGAACCACTAGAGTGTAGGTTTTTCTCTTGACAGTTGCTTCAACATTCCTATAACAAAAGAATACGTCAGTAAGTTTCAACTATATATATATATATATTTTGTTCTTCAAAAGATGGGAGGAGAAATAAGTCCTACTGGGCGTGCCAGAATTTGTAGACACAAATTTTAAAACATGAAGTGTTTCAACACATTTCAAAATCTTATATTACAAATGTCCACTGCTTAGTTTTTTGGACTAAACAGTGTTGATTATTTGAATAGCAGGTTCCGATTTTCGATCTGTATTCCAGATCGTTAATTACACATTTTAGATAAATGAAACCTCCGATTAATGAAAAACAAAATAAATAACATAAGACAATTTAAGAAAAATAAATATTTTATTGAAATTGTTATGGGTTTTGAACCCTCGAATACAAAGTACAATTCTTTGGTTTAGAACCCTTTATCTATTCATCGTCATTCTGCATTTGTAACGTAGTTTCTTGAATTCTCTAAACTTCTTTTCTTCTGGCTCTTGATTGATTTCTTTCTCTCTCTCTCTGATATTCTTACTTTTTTTATTTTTCTGATCCCCATCTTGTGTGATGGTCCTCGTATTTATAGAGGGCCATCCAGGTGATAAGAATGTCTCATCCTCAATTTGAATTCAAACTGAACGATAGCGCCATTTGAATTTTGAATAATAGCGCACTACAACAAAAAATGATTTTTACGACGCGCAATGCATGCCTTAAAAACCCTTTTACGACGTGCAGGCGCACGTCGTATTATGACCAGTCATGGAAAGTTATTCACTTTTAACGACATGCTTCGTACGCCGTTCAAAACTATTTACCGATAGATTTTGTGCGTCGTCGTTATTTTTTCTACACATATTATAGTACGTCGTTAAAAACTATTTAACGACAAATTTTGTACGTCGTTATTACTTTTTCTACTATTTTTGCACGTCGTTAATTGGTGAAACAAATAATGACACTGATTACGCTCCGTAAAATATGTAATACGACTTATTATGCCTGTCGTAGAACATACAATTTCTTTTTAAATTCAGCAAGTTTTATTTGACCAATTTTGTACAATCTAACAAATATTACAAACAAGCATTACAAAACATTAATCAACCACCAAAACATTGTTTGAAACATCAAAAAGAAACTATATCCATAAATTATAAACATTCAACAATTATCTATACATTCCAAACATTCAAAAATTATATCCGTAAGTTCTAAACTGTACAAAAAGTTTAAACCATCTAAAACTATGTATATCTAACTTTCTAAACATATCGACAACTTTTAAGATTTATCGAATAAATCTAGTGATTGTGCGACCATACACCTCCACAAAAACTCCAAATCAAGGTTTTAAAAAGCGGCCGCAACCGTTACGTAACGCCGTTACGTAACGGTTTTGGTGGTTACCGCCACCCGTTACGGCCGCTTTTGCAGTGTGATTGAGATTCACAGGTGTGTTGACCGTAGCGGCCGCTATAGCGGTCGTAACGGTGCCGTAACGGCCTGTTACGTACCGTTACGTAACGGTTCCGAACTGCTTCTTTAAAAAAAAACATAAAAAAAAAAATTGAAAATAGGGAAAAGGTGATAGAGAGAGAGAAGATGGAAGATGAATAATATGTTATTGAATTGTTGAAGCTGTAAGACCTATGATATTCTATTCAGCTACTATCAGTCAACCATTTTGTTTGTTTGTATGTATCTATCTATATATTATTTGAAAATCATAATAATAATGTGGTCATTATCGATTTGGCTTGATTAAAATATATATATATATATATTTAGACTCTTATTTATTCTCTTACTTTTGTCTTGGTTTATCTTATATATAATAATTAGTGATTGATTTTTTTATAAAATATCTAGAAAACATAACACCTATAATTATATATTAATAGATATTTTACACATGTCAATTTTTATTAGTTTATTTTATTTTTATTTACAGGTTATCTAAAAAGAGAATGAATATTCAACTGATCCAAACCCCCCCAAAAAAAATTCTTTATAATTTATTTTTTAATTTTTATATGATTATATTAGCATGTCTAATTTATTTTTTAAAAACTATTCAAGTTAAAATTTGCATATGCTTCTACAAGTATAATAATTAAAAAATAAATTTATACGTCTAACTCCAATAATTTTTTTTTTACCACAAGTGTAATATGGATTTATGACATATAAAGTCATTAATTAGTAAAATAAAATGTAAAAAACTCAGTTTATAATGATTTAAAAATATGAAATATATTGAATCATATTTAAAAATTTATAAAAATTGATCAATATTTATTTTAAAACCCAATAAATATGATTATGGAAAAAAAATATGCGTATCGGTAAGTTTTTTTCAAATTGTGCGAAAAATAAAAAAAATTCACGGTTCCGGTTACCGCAACCGTTACGCTACGGCCTTTACACCCCGCAACCGCAACCGCGGCACCGCCACCGTTAGAGCAACCGCAACCGCTTTTCAAAACCTTACTCCAAATACAAATCTGGCGTAAATCCAAATCTCCTCACAATGTGATCAATAAATGAAAGTGGGGTCAGAGAATTCATCTTCCTTTGAAGAGTAGATAGCACCAGAAGCTCCATTCTCTAGATTATCCTAGCTTCAAACACAAACTTTGATTCCTCCACCTAATCACAACACAGAAATAAATCAATGAAAACACAAAGAAATAAATCAATTCCTAATTAAGCTTCCAAACTGACCATAAAACAGCAAATAGAATGGAATTCCAGATTTTCCTCTCCAGTTTTGACATTTACACCGGCCCACCATTGGGGTAAGTCATTAACAAAACCTGGTAATGCCCAAACTAAACCCCATCATCTAATAACATGTGACTAAAGTAACCAAACAAACGGACAGTGCAATAACGCATGATCATCAGATTCCACCTCAGTCCTGCAGAAAACAGAAAGAACAATAGCATTATTTTTGAGAACTCCAATCCTTTGAAGATAGCTGGATGATTTGATCCTCCTTCTCCATGCCAACCACCCAAAGAATTGACCTTTGGGAAGGGCAAAACATGTGCAAAACATGGTTCTGCAGCAAATCTAATTACCTAACTAATATTCCAAGCAACCAAAAAGAGATGGTCAAAATCTAAGAATTTAATTAGAGGAAAAAAATGCAAATTAATATGAGCAATATTGAATTGAGGACCCGAAATTCCCTATTGATGGGTGATGCAAAAAACTGTTGAAACTATATCCTATAAATAATGTTGGTTGAGTGAAACACATTCTCCAAGGCACTAAACTAACAATGTGATCTCATCAAATATATGCTATATGTTGTAAATTCATGCATGAGCAACGATTATATAAAACCTGCTAAGGAGTGTGTGTTTTGGTATTGGTAATATATAGGTACTGTATATTTCTGCTGAGGGTGGTTAAAATCTATAATCTCTTATGACAGGTACAACAGGATTTGAGATATGGAGAGGACATAAATAATAAGAGAAACGGATGAGGAAATAACAACACATACTTGTAGATTTAGTGACCGTTTCCGAGAATCAAGTTCCTCTGGGGTGAATTCAGCCTGATTGAAGCAGTGATAGAAGCAATATGAATGTTTTTGATCGGCAAGCATTATGAATGTTACAGAAAATAAACATAATCATAACTAGCCTATCCATTAATTTATTATTTGTTAATTCTATCAAAATAGAACAGTTTGTTGATGCTTTTGAACAAATTAATGGATAGGCTAGTTCCATTGATTGATGAAATTGTTACAAAGGTGAGAACTTTATAACATTTTTTCACTCAAATAATTAATGTGCTTAGAATAGTTTGTTGGATGAAATTGATTGTAGTGCATATAGTTTGTTAATGTTGTTAGAACAAATTATTCTTGTATTTAAATTTTTAATGTATGTAGTAAAACAATGGGAGTTGATATTTCTTGTAGCTGGAGAAGAGCAAGTAGTAACATTGTTTAGTGTAATTGAGTTGAGTTTGGTTGTTTTGTTTTACTGAAAAGAGAAGAAGTATATTTTTAGGTTCAAGAATTATTTACCTCGTTGTCTTCAATTTGGACTTTGAGATGGTGCTCCTTAATTTGTTACTGTTAGCATGAAATTGAGTAGTCACTATTGCGGAAAACTATGCAGAACGACTGTAGAAAGGAGAAAGGCAATACGAAGAGGTACACTTCCATCCTTTTTTCCTTGCTTTTGCTATCAGATTTTCTTTTTAAAGGGTTTCAGCTTTTTCTCTCACCACTGGAGTAAATAAACATCTATGTTACTTCTTTTTTTTTTTTTAAAAAAAAAAAAAATTATGTAAGCATGGTAACAAAAAAGTAGCAACACTAATCTTCTAAAAGGGGATGTGTAAATCTCTTTCCTTTAATTAAGGGTGGTGTTCCAGTGAAAAAAATTGCCCATGTACACCACGTGGCAATGCCACATACCAATCACCAAATACCGCCACCATGGTTGTCTCTTCAAACATCAACTTAAATGACGGACCCCACTATATAAAGAAATTGCATTCATTTTGCGCACCACATGCTCTATTCAAGTCCACATGGAGGGTAATCTGCTTGACTGGTTTCACCACTGATCCTTTACATTTATTTATCTAGAAAACATAGATTTTTTACCAATAGGTTGCTGTAAAATTTGGTGTTACAACTCTCAGCCTATTGTTTTGTTCTAATTTTCTTTAAAAAACAACGAAGTCCTTTTTTCACAAAAATAGTAAAAGATTTAAGCATTATGTGTATTAAGGCAGCAAGCCAATCAACCCCAAAAGCTAGCTATTGAGGTGAGGGTGCCCTCATGCTTATATATTTCACATTTCCTTACTTAGGTGATGTGGGACTTTGCTTCACAGCTATCAAATTGAATATTTTAGGTATCAGACAGGAAGCTTTGGGTCTGCAAAAAAAAATTCTTGCTTTTTCTACTGGATTATTATCAAAGAAAAGTAATGCTTTTATATTTGTTGATCAAAGAAAATGACTGCTTTTAGTGTTTGCTTTTGTATTTTCAAACAACACATACAAAAGGGCTAACGCACAAAAGCAATCCTACAATCAGGGTTTATGTTTTTTTATTTATTTATAGTAATGCTATACAAACAAAACCTTTTTTACAAACTTTAGTTTACTAATTGATGTGGCAGATGAGTTATTCCCAATTTCAAGGGTCCCATTTCAATACCAAGGCTTTTTATTTATTTATTGTGCCATACCGGTTTTTGTAAAGAAATTCAGTAAATTTTTTTTGTTTGCTATTAAAATCTCTTTGAAGTAGATATAACATGTGTTTGTTATCTTTAAATGGTTCATTTTCTTTTACATTTCTGGTTTATGTTCTTAAGTCTATATTTGTTGCATATATTTTTAAACGTCATAGACTGTACATCAAATTCTTTGGTAATTAATGATGACCCATAATTAAAGACACTTTTTTTTTTTGGATTGGAGTTGGATGATACTTTATGATGAAGCCTTTTCCTTTTCCTTGTTATGTACCTTAAAGAGATTCTGCTTTTAGTATGATTTTGCCAGTATGTTTATGAATTTAATTTATTTATTTTTTTGTCTGTGTGTGTATATGTGTACATAGGTATATATTATTTATATGGGTTAATGGTGCTATACTAGCTTAAACTTTAAAATTTTTTGTTAGTGAACCTTGGCCTACTAAACTTGAGTTTATCAGTTCAAGACTGTGGACAACCAATTTGTATATTTATGCCAAATGTTAGGTATGTACCCTATCTAACCTTACCCAAACACCTATTAACTGCCAAACCACCGTTAATGGGCACTAATTGGGTGTTAGTTTTGGTGCTTTAAAGCAGACCAATTATTTGTAATTTTGTGTATAAAATATTTCTAACAATTGAAGTGAGTTAATATGCTTTCATTGTAGTTGGATAGAGATTCCTGTTTTTGATAAACTACCACTACAACAAAAAATGGTTTTTATTGCATCAAACTGATATTATGGTAAGAACTAACAGTACAGAAGTAGAGATCATTAATACCTGAGTTTGGGCATCATCACTAGTAACAATGTTTCCCACTGTCCTAAGTGCAAGTATAAGAACTGTAAGTGATGGATGATTTGTGAAAAACAAAATTTAGTTAGTTAGTACTATTTTTACAAATCTGACCACTATAAAGAGAATAACACATAATGAAATTTAGCCCTGAGAAAAGAAAAAAATATTCCACTACTTTGCTAAAAAAAGAGAATATACACCTTCTGAAAACAAATCCAAGAGAAAGAGAGAGAACGAAAATAAGAGTAAAAAAGGGAAGATCACTTTATAGGGTGGAAGGAAGATCAGCATACTTGCATGATTATCTCTTTCAAAAGTTTCTAGTGGGGGTCTCTATCAAAATTAGTCAAGAAAGTCTAGAGGGCGTGAGCCTTTCAAATGATTTCCAGTAAGCTTCAATTCTTCCATGGTGTGAACTTGATAAACAAATCAAATATCAATAACCAGGTAACATTTCTCAGTGTATTTAAGAGAATGAAAGGAGAAAAAGTTGTCCATAAACATATACATTTTAGAAAACCAGCAAAACAGGTAAGAGCACACGCCTAAATGCATTATAAATCTCATATAACAATATCATTTGAGATTGGAGCAAAGAATTACCAGCATTTACTAAGAACTTCACTGATGGACCATTGGGACACTTTACCATCCATAGATAAAGGTCTTTATGTTTTCTGCGCTGAAATTGTAGAAGAAAATGTAATCAACCCCATGAAAAAGACACAGTATAAAATATATTACTCTGCTCTATAGCTCCAACATGTTTCAATCCCCAAGCATCCTTCAAAAATGCAGTAGCACTAGTTACTCTATACAATATCAGAACCCACACCTAATTAACACACCAAAACATTACAAAAGAAAGTGAAACAAACTCAAGTTCCATGAATGACACTGACTCAAAACATATTCTGCTGATTCATTTGATAATCCATCAGTGATAAAAATAAATAAACAGAGCTAAGCACTACACTACTTATTACTACCAAAAGAGAAACAATTAAAACAATTACCTCAAAAAACAGGCAAGAAGAACAGCCTGTGAGTTCAACAAGCTCATTCAGTGTTGCGCCTTTACTTGCTTTAGATTCAAACTTGTTATCCTTCTTACAATGGGGCAAAAGTGACACCACATTCAACATCAAATGTCGATACCTATATACCATAGAATTTATAAATGTCATTGTCATGGACTAATACCTTTGAGGCCTCGTTTGGGAACCCTTTTTTAACAAAAAAGTCAAAAAGTTACTAAGGCCTCGTTTGGGAATCATCAATTTTAGCCAAAAAGTCAAAAAGTTACTAAATTAGTCAAAAAGTCAACAACTCATACCAAAAAGTCAAAGATTCTTTTTTCTCTCTACTTTTTGCACATTTTTTCGTAGAAAGCCAAAAAGTCATCCCAAACATACTAGTTTTTTTAGCTCATATTTTAGTCAAATAGCCAAAAAAGTTACTAAATTAGTCTGTTCCCAAACGAGGCCTAAATTAGCCAAAAAGCCAACAACCCATATCAAAAAGTCAAAGATTCTCTTTTCTCTCTACTTTTTGCACATCTTTTCGTAAAACGCTAAAAAGTCATCCCAAACATACTAGTTTTTTTTAGCTCATATTTTAGCCAAATAGCCGAAAAGTTACTAAATTAGTCTGTTCCCAAACCAGGCCTGAGTTTCAACAAAAGGACCAAAATTGTCAACAGAATGATGGTTTTCTGGAAAAAAAGGAGGTGGTCGTGGCATCTGAGGTACAGGCTGGCTATGATCATTGTAGAGTGAATCTGAAAGCCTACCCAAATAAACAAAGCAAAAGTCGTTAGATACTCAAAATAAACTGCAATAGAAGACAATGGGTATGTTTGGTTTGAGTTTGGGAGATGAGTTTTAGAGATAAAAAGTACGAAAAGTTGTTTGGTTTGGTTTTTTTCAAAAGATGTTTTGAAAAATTATTTTGAGAGAAAGTTTTGGAAAAAGTGATTGATTTGATGTGTATGAGAGAGAGATTTATTTGGAAAACTTGTAAACCAAACAAGTTTTGAGAAATTTTTTTGGAAAAATTTGTTTGGTTTGATTACTTTTAAAAACTTATTTGTAGAAAATTTTTCCCAAAAATTTTTAGGAAACACAAACCAAACAAGGCTAATAAGTCTTAAAAATGCTATTTGTTATGTGGAACAAGTGATAGAAGGATTAGAATAAAATTGATAGATGGGTGAAGGGAAATGTCGTCCACACACAGATAATTCAATAGAATGATTCACGATCCATGAAATAACAAAACACACCCAGTACAAAATAAAATAAAATAAAAAAACACGATGACTTTTAGGATGCAAGTACAGTAATTCTGAATAAATTATACGAACCTGCCAGAACGTGTAGTAACCTCTCTGCTCGTGTCCACAAGGCCAGAACTTATATGGAAACTTTAAGAAGATCTTCGTGTACACCATCACATCACATTTCTCAATGGCCTCCATTTTCCACCTCTGTTTCATAATTTTATTCATTTTTTAATTTTCGAGTATATAAAAATAGCAATAAAGGAGAAGATCATGTCAGCAAGCATTCTTAGGTGAAGGGACCACAACCAAACAACCAAGCATGTAGAATAATTTAAAGTATTGTATATTTTAAAATTATGTGAAGATGTTATACATGTGCATTGGTTCAGCAACTTCCTGCAAAGAATTTCTAGGCACAGAAGCTCAACCATTTAAACAATCCATAATACGTATTTAGGCTTTGATGAACCTGTGGTCCAGGAGAATCTGTCAAAGTTAAGCACCTGCAAAGAGCAAAGAAACAAAGAGCGAGATTAAAATAAAATATTGCAGCTAAAATATATGGAATAAAATAAAACATAGCAGCTAAAAAATAACGAAACAAAGAGGGAGATTAAGAGGGAGACTAAAAAAAATGAAAAAATAAAAATGAGAAAAGAAACAAAGAAAGAAAAAATAACAGTTTAGATTGACTTGACAAACTTACATAGTATGAAGTAAACAGACAAAGTTTAGTTTCAATTCTCAGCTGTGTACAAATCCAATCTCAATTGTAAGCAAATTCACACAAATCGAAAAATTAAGTTTGAGTTTTCATATTTCAATTGTATAAGCAAATAGGGTTTTCTTCAATCCACGTCAATCAAATTAATTACAAGAGGCAAAAACTGCAGGTTTAGCAAATTCAAGGTGAAGAAACTCTTGCCAGGTTGAACAACGAAGGGGCAAAGATCTGAGAAGTTGAAAATTATAGTTAGGGTTTGAAATTGGGGGAACAAGAGCGAGAGAGAGAGAGAGAGAGAGAGAGAGCGTGTTTACCTGATGCAAGAGGTCTGAAATCGAGAGGATTAGCTATGGTGGAGTGCAGATGGCTCCACGCACTGCTACCGAACTTCCTTCATCTCTCCACCGAACCCCACTACTGCTCCAACGCTGCTCCTGTTACGTTTCGTGTTAGCCACCTTCTTCGTGTTTGCTCTCTGCCTTGGTCAGTTCGCCACCGACCTCACGGTGGGGAAACAGGGCGGCGCCACCACGCTGTGAGACATTTTTGGTGGTGGTGGTTTTGAATGGTGGCGTAGGGTGACAAAAAACAAAAAGGATTTTTTGTTTTTTTTTTTTTTTTTTTTTACATATATTTTTTTTGGGTGCATGGCGCCTGAATTTTTCATTTTCCCACTATTTTATTTTATTTTTTGTTATATGTTTCACGCCAGCAATTGCATGCCATGAAAAGTTCAATATTTTAAATGGTTGACGTTTTGTATGTCGTGAAAAATAAAAATTTTAACGATTAATTTTTTGTGTGTCATGTAATATTTAATATTTTTAGCGGCTGGTGTACACATGTCGTATATAGTTGATGTGTTAACGGCATGTCAAATGCACGTCGTAAAAAGTTTTATTATTTACGACTAATATTGCAAGTCGTAAAATTAAGAAACCATAGCTTGCATTTACTGTATGTCGTTAATATGAAGCCGTAAAAGCTCAGTTTTGTTGTAGTGGCGCCATCTAATCAATCGTATATCTGATTAATCGGATTGATCTTTGGGATTTCATCTTGTGTGGTATCCTCGCTGTAGGCTCTACAGGTGTCATCTTTCATAGGCTTCACGTGTCACTTGAGCATCTTGAATGACGCTGTTGAGATGCAACGTCGTTTTATTTATGCACTTCAACAGATCATATTGATCTTTTGGGAAGTGATTACCAACAACTTTTCTATCATAGACTCTGTACGTGTCATAAATTTAGTTGAAATTTATGTGTCAGCAGTCTCTCAATACTGTAATCCAAAATTAATTATAGATATAGAGAATCCTCATCCTCATTAGCTAAAGTGAGCAAAATTTGTATTTGTTTCTCATGATTTACATGGCTGCTTTGATTTTTTTGTCCAAATATTTACACCGAAACCATCCAAAATGAGCAACAAAAGCCAAACCCTTCAAATAAATAAATAAATTTGAAATAGATCATATTATATTATCAAAGAACAAGGAGAAAAACTAGGACAACTAGGAAACTAAATAAATTAGTAAATAAAAAAAAAAGAAGAGAACGACAGGGGAGAGGGAGTTGAAGAGGATAGAAATAAGAGAAAAGAAGACGCTAAATAAATTAAAATGAAAACTCCTTGTTTGGTTGTTGGGTTGTTGGAATTGGCCATGTGAAAAATAAGATGCCAAATACTATGTAATGGAAATTACTTACACGAAGAACTTGTGAGTTTAAATGTGGAAAATTTTACATACATAAAACTAGGTTAGTATTTTCTTATTGATTTTATGTTTAAGTTACAAGGTTAGAATCTAGGGGCACTAATGCTGAAGCATGAAAGAAGCCACAAAGGTTTGGTCTGTATTGTATCTAATCCACCTTTCCTAGCTTCCGTAATTAACAGGGCAAACATTGCATAATGTACTTTTAGATAGAATTTACAACCTAGCTGGAAGTTATAGGCCTTTTTCTGATCTTGAATTTGTGCTTCTACGTATTGTGAAATCAATGTGACCCACTCTGCACAACAAAGCACACATTTCATTCTTATTGATGGACCCATCAAGAATGGAGTGTTAGGGAACCCCTTGTAGTCGGCATTTGTGTTGTACTTGGATTACTTTCTGGTACATCTGTGTTTGCACAAATTCACTTAAAGAGTTGTTCTTTTTGAAACATTGAACTTAAATATAAAGACGCACCTTGTCTGGTTGGTTTGGTGGCTTGGCAATGTATGTTGCTACTGCTCTTCTGAAATCAGAAAGCTGACAGTGATACATCACAGACTGTCTTACATGTTACACATGCATTCGTCTCACTTATACGTCAGAAATAGATTGTGGCCTTTACCTGTATATAAATCTCACTAAATGGGTTTCCCCATGCAAGGAAAGTACCATCTCTCAATAGAACTACATTTAGGTCTGTTGAAGATTTCCAGGATGATACGAAGTTCAGCAATACTTAAGCTTCTAAGGAAGATGCTAACGAGAATCCTCAGACTGTCCAGCAGATCAAATACCAGTGCTGGTAACAGTGATTATGATGATGATGACGCAAGTTCACTGGCAGAGGATCTACCAGAGGATGTGAAAGAAGGACATTTTGTGGTTCATACTGTTGATCATGGTGAACCGAAGAGGTTTATTATAGAATTGGGTTACTTAGCTCACCCTGGGTTCTTGAAGTTGTTAGAGCAAGCAAAAGGGGAATTTGGGTTCAGACCTGAAGGAGTTCTTGTCGTTCCTTGTGGGACCAATGAGCTTAAGAGGATTCTCGAGGACAGGAAAGAGAAAATGGGATGATGTTGGATGAACCTGTAGGTCTGCTATTTCAAAAGTTGCAAGATAAAGATTTGAGTTTCATCTTGAATAAATTTTGAGTTGTACTAGTTTGTTCCCTGTTCTCCAAGTGGTAGAATTGAATATTCATTTGCATATGATGTTTGTATATGTTGTTGAACATTTGTATTGAGAGTAATGCTAACTTCATTATTATATTTATTATTTAGTTTCTAGATGTACACATTATACATGTATGGGTTGATTCAGGAATAAAAGTAAAGAGTCATTCATGTATGTAGTTGAAAGGTTGTAAGACTATTAATTATTTGGTTCATGTACCAGTCTAGGTGTATGGTTGGTAGAACCTATATTTACCCCATGTTTTTCGTCTTTGTCAGTGTGCTGAAGTATAGTAAAGAACTAGTTTCAGAGTTACTCTCATTTTGAGTGTTGCTTTTCATTTCTTCTTACTTATTCAGATCTTGGTTTACCTTTAATTGTCCTGGAAGTGTACAATATTTTTTACTTGTACTTTTCGAGAGTGTTTGATCTCTCAAATTACATGTTAATTGATTTTCTCGCTACACCCCAAATTAAAAAGTTTTGAGAGCAGCTTGGCCCAATAGTAAACCTTGGTGTTACCGTGTGATTCAAGTCAAGGAAACATGTTTAGAAGTGGGGGTAAGACTACGTACATCTTGCCCTCTCCAAACCCTGCTTTAGCAGGAATCCTGTACGCTGGATTGGCTTTAGTCTTATTGGCTTTAGTCTTAGGTGCTTGTACCTGATTTTGCCCTAATTCTATACTTTTTGTGCTGAAAGCTGGTCAATATTTCATTTAGTGGTTAGTTGTACCATGAACTGCGAAATTGGAGCATGTGTGCAACAATATCAGGTGCTTGAAAAGCGATCCATAGCGTTCAACACTAGATGAAAGGGTATTGTACTCATATGCAATGTCCCATAATTTTTTTGTTTTCTAGCCCTACAGGCCCATGATGGTCACTACATGCCACATGGAGTAAGTGGATCACTCTATCTAGGTCTTTGTCTAATTGTTTTTTTTTTTTATCACGTCTTTGTCTAATTGTTATGATCCATCTTTTTTTATTATTTCTGGCAACGACCCATGTGCTGTTTTACAGTTAAAATGAAGATAACAGCGGCATCTCACTAAAACTGCACTGATCTTCACTACTTTCCTCGGTCTCTATCTCTTCCTCTAGTTTTTTTCCTTGAGATGTCAAGTCTGATCTATTTTTCTCAAATTTCTTCATTTTGTTCTGATGACTAGTATGGAGAAATCAGGATAGAGGTAGAACTTGAATTTGATTGACCAAGTGTTGTATAGCTTAATATATATTGTTAAGGTCATTTTCTAGTAGCTTAAGCTTTTGGGACTAGTGGTGACTTAGGGGCTGTTTGGTGCAGCTTGTGGAGCTTATTATTATTATTATTATTATTTTGAAAGTTGAGTTTGCAACTTTTGTTTATAACTTATGAAGTAGAAATAGCTTAATTAAGTTTTTTTTTAAAAAAATAAATTGATTTACTGGGAAGAAAAGAGAGTTATTTTAACTTCAACGTCTGATTTTCACCTTTCAGCATGTTAGAAGATGCATCAAAATGGCCCTTTACATGGTATATGCCTTCTTTCTTCTCTCGTTTTTGGGCTCATTTTCTAACAGTTAAAACTTTTAGGAAAATTGTTTCCTTAACAGGAAGTCAACTATTGAATGACATTACCGGAATTTAGACATGTGGAAAATATGAGTTGCTCATGGAAGAATTAGTCGGCCTTTTTCAGTTGACGGTTCAATGTCGCGGTCCCTACAGTATTGTGTAGTCTGGTAGTGAATACTTGATGCAATTGATTGATTGATAATCAAGATCAATGAAGTGCCCATATGGAATGTTTTTGCTTTTTCCCCAGAAATTTGGTCATCCCTGCTATGCATCTTATTACTGTGTAGAGTACATGTGATCATGTTTTGAAAGAACCCTGAAAGTTATCTGCTATGGACTTCATTTACAGTGGCTATGGCTTGAACCCACCATGGTAAAGAAAAGGAGAGTTAGGCTTGAAAACCTAAATTTGAAGACAAGGAACCAAATAGGTTTTCTGTGAGATCGAATTGTCTCAACAATCGGCAGTGACTGTTGGGAACATGACAGTGGTGAGCCCTTGCCTCTCCTTGTCATTAGCCTGAGTTGCACATGCTAGGAATCCCCCCATAAGAGGAGTAGCTAGGAAGAAGGATAAGGTATTGTTGCCATACCATTTTTTTATGAATGTTTCTTTTCTTTTTTTATCTTTTTTCTTGAATTTTTCCTGAGCATTCCCATGTGGTTAACACTCTAGTTTGTGTTTATCAATATCTTTGTGCCAAACTTATGCCTCTGTTGATATCTGATCATTCCATTCAGGCCCTGCTAATCAATCATTTGTTAATATTACCAGTTCCATGTTTTCTGTTTACAAAAATTAGGAAACAATTTTTTATTTTTTGTGAAAAATAAAAACAGAAAACTTGTTTGGTGTACAAGTGAAAAGAACCTTTTTTTATTTCAAAATTTTGAAAGGAAAATTTGGTGATAAATCCAATTTGGAGAGTGTCTAAGAAAATAGGTCAAGTGAATATTTTTTGTTAGTGAAAAATCCATCATTTGTAAAATAGTTTGGTGAGAGATCATTTTGTTTGTTTTAAAGAATATTTTATTTCTAATTTTACCCCTTAATTTGTTTGTTGAATTTTTTTCTGTTGACTTTTTTGACTATCTGTTCAAATTATTTTCTATTTGTATAAATTTTTTTGACTATCTGTTCAAATATATATATCTACATGTTGAATCTATATTCTTATCTGTTCAAATTTTTCCCTATCTGTTCAAATTTGATGGATTTCTCTCTCTCTATCTATTCAAATTTTGTGGGTTTCTTTCTAATTTTTCCTATCTATTGAAATTCTTGTGTTAATTTTTCTTATCTGTTGAAATCTATTTTTATCTAGCCTTTTTTTTGAATGAACTCTGATCGTTGATATAATCTAACCCTAGTCACAAAAAAAAAAAAAAAAGAAATCTGTTGAAAATCTAGTAGATGATTAATGAAGCAACACACTACACAACAAAATTACAATTAATTCTCTATCTATTCAAACACTACCAAGCCAATTTTTCCTATCTATCTATTCTTATCTGTGCAAGTTACATACATACATATCTGTCTAGAAGCCCTAGATAAGATCATAATGATAAGACTTAAATAAAAACCAAGCCTAAATAGATATAGATCAACATTGCTCAAACATATCAGATCAGATCAAAGATCGATCAATGATGGCCAGTAAAGTGAGATGACCGTTATTGGCAATTGCCACGGCCTTCGAGGTCCTTCTAGTACTCGATCCAATCTTCTCAATCGCCTTCATAACATCCATACCTACAACAACTTGGCCAAACATGACGTACTTTCCATCTAGCTACTCGATCTTCGCAGTACAAATGAAGAACTACGATTTATTGGTTCTAGGTCCAATATTCGCCATGGATTGAAATACACATAGTCCACTCGAGCGCAAGAAGTGACGCTCGAGCATCCAGACACAACAAGTTGTTCTGCTCAAGCGCAAGAATTGATGCTTTAGCGTAGATTACGCACTCTTAGCAGTTTTGCAGATAGTAGACCAACGCTCGAGCCCAAAAAAGACCGCTCGAGTGCAGGAATAACCGCTCGAGCGTACAATGCACTCTTCCAGTAGTTTTGTACACCTATAAAAGTACTGAGAATTCACAAAGCCCGCTCGAGCACAAGAAGTGACGCTCGAGCGGAGGAGTAAAATTCTAGGCAGCAAAAGTTTGAAAACCAAGCTACCAACCTGTTCCAAACGCAATCAATACAACTCAATAACCAAACTCAAGGAAATATAAAGGATGCTTCTTGATGAAGTTCTCGACGACGAACTTTGATCCGTAGATCATCCAGGGTCATGTCCAAGGTAGCAACACTTGAAATTTTTAGTAAACTCTACCAAGAGATACTAGATCTACAGTTGATAATAGATCTGATCCAGATTGGCGTCAAGCTCTATAATTGTGAGTTGCTTCGGGAGGTTGGGATGAGATCTAGGGTTTAGTGGCTATTCACGGCGGTGATCTAGGATTCTGATCGGAGAATATGGTGGACTAAGGAAGAAGACGACGGTAACAGAGACTGGAGAAAAAGACGACGGCTAAAGAAGAGGAGGAAGCGATAGAGGTAGTGGCGCCAAGAGTGGTGGTCACGACAGTAGAGGAGAAGGCGACGACGTGAGAATATCTGCACCAACGACGATGAAGATGTCGATGACAACGGTAGATGTAGAACAGGTGCAAAAGGAGTAGAGAAAGTGATAAGTCTCTCCGATTGGTAGTGTTCGCTGATGTGAGAGAGAGAGAGAGAGAGAGAGAGAGAGAGAGTGTGGTTTTGAGAAATGAGAGCTAAGTTTGGAAACACATATGATAGGAATACATATATATATATATATATATGGGTAGTTTAGTCATTTTGCCTAAATTTGTCCTTATGGCCAAACTATTTCAACATTTGGACTTATGGCCAAATAAAATCTAAATTTGGGTTTATGAACTGAGTGCCCATTTTGAAATTAATTTCATTTTTTTTAAATGAAAACAATATACCATATAGGCTTGTTTTTTTATTTTTTTATTTTTTAAAAATAAAAAACAAAACGAAAGCAGAAAATAGAATATGAAAGCGTTAACAAATGACCTCCTAATATCCTATCATATTTATGTTTTGAGTTGATCTCTTAAGTTTTAATTAAGTTATTGTGTCAAGTAATTTTGTTTCCTATATAATTTTATGATGTAAGTTTATCTAGCTGAGGTTAAATAATGTCATGGCACATGTATCCTATCCTATCATCATAATATTTGTAAGCCCTACCTTTGTTGGTGGTGATTGCCCACTTCCCAAAGGCTATGAAAATAAAAGGGTAATTTCACATCAGTATATTTAA